TGCCGAACTTGAACTGGAGAATTTATTTCCTGGACTGCTGATTACTCTACTGTCAGCAACTTTTAACACACTGAGACATACTCAACCTCTCGCCATCATAGGAGCAGCAATAATGTGCCTTTGGGTTTTTGGTTTACGAGATGAAGAACTGTGTCTAGGTCAGTGGGGGATGATAATTGGCATCACATCTGAACTGAAAACACCAAAAACGGCCGTTCTTACAATAATCACTGGAGTAGCTATGATGGCCTTTGGAAGCACAGATGGACAGCAGGCATATGGAATCTTTATAGCATATATATTAAATATTTTATTGATTATGCCTCTGATGATTCCTTTTGTTACTGCATGTCTGGCATACATGATTGCACAAAGTGTTCCTGCCTCAGATATATGTGCTACTGTATTAGCACTGACCACTTTTGTCAGACTAAGAGCTGTCGTGTGTTTCTTCACACACATTAAATCGCAATATGTAGGGCTAATCAAGGCTATCTTAAAAACCGTGCGTGTCTTTGGGGCAATCGTCATATTCAGTTTCATTGTTGCTTTGCTGTTGATTTTTGTTGGTTTGCATCCCCATTCATTTTGGGGAGATGATGACAATGCAAGGTTATTGCAAATTATGGTAAAAACGCTTTGCTGGCAGAGTTTTTTCTTTAATGAAGTATCAAACATCAGGGCAGCAGAAAAAGGCTGGCTGGATGTAAAGGCTGTACAAACAGTACTTCAAATGTTTGCAGTTTTAGTGAGAGTACAAACTCCAGGGATGGAAGCTGAAGGTGGGCTGATCTTAGCCTGGACGGGTACAGGAGCGACTCTGGCTGTGGCGCTGGTTGTGCAGAAGGTTCATGGTCAAGCCATGCTGCTTAAGGGACTTGCAGTGTCTGTGTTGATATCTGCATGTTTATTCTTTATTTTTAAAATGTCCTTGCAAAGTGCAAACATGCGACCTTTGTGCATTAATGCCACAGAGGCTATAAAGCAGCTTGGCTGGATGTATGTGGCCACATTGGTAATGGGATTGGGAGTGGCTCTGATGCCTGCATGGATTGGATGGGCATGTGTTGCTATTGGAACATTTCTGGCAATTAGCACTGTCCGACTGATCCCTCTTCAAGAAGATACTGATGAAGATGATGAAGATCTGGATGAAACTGATTAAATCAGACAAAGGTCTGTTGGGTGAGGGTTTACATAGACATCACTAAATAAGTGATTTTAGGCTTTTCACAAACCAGCTGTGGAGTTCATATTTGTTGACCCTATATGGATCTCCTCTGCCTATGTTTCATTCTAAAGAAGACACTCTAACGGTTTCCAGACAAGGTTTTTAGACGATCTCAAAACTTTGAAGAGGTTGCCAGGCTGAAATCCCCTCTTTGCAGAGCAATTGAAAATGAATATGTTGTCTATTGTCTAATGTTGCCAAGTGTATTGTTGAAACATATTTAAATTGTTAAAATAAAATGTAACAATTTCATACTCTTTTTATTTCTTATAATATATATATATATATATATAATTTAATTTATCTGCTGACTAAATTACAGTTGCCCACACTTTAGATTTGCAGGTTAGCTTACCATTAATTCCTTATTTGATTCATTCATTCGTTGGCATTCGGCCACACAGTGTCTAGTATTTTAACTGAGTGAACCGTTGTAATTAAAATCATTCTGCAAATACTGAAGTGATGCAAAGAAACAAACAAACAAAAAATAAAACTTCTCTATTAGATAATATGGAAGATTGCCAAGGTCTTCTCGAACAAGTTTACTCTACATAAGATTAACACACACACACACACACACACACAATGTAAAAAAAAAATAAAAATAAATAAATCAGTGACACTTACGGTAAAATACCGGCAGCTGTGGTTGCCAGAATTTTACCGTAAAAAAATATGGTAGCAACATTTTAGGTTTTACATACTTAAATTCACAAAAAAAAAAAAAAAACGTCATTAACTGATGTAATATTAATATACAAACCTATTGAAGTACTAATATCTGTTTTGAACCATTGTAATACACTGATAACCACCAAAAACATGTGGTGATGAGAAAGCCACATGATGAACCAAAGCTCATCACAAACAGCTTTTCTAGGAGCTGAGGAGGACAATACTTATATATAGAAGGTGCACAGTGTCATTCACACAAACACTAAACCCCATCATGGTGACACACATGATGCTGAAATAATGCAATAAACATTAATTTAACAACATTAGATGTAAGATTAAACCCTAAGACACCCCCAGGGAGTGTCAATTTACGTTTTTTCACTGTAAATTATACAATGACTTTTTCTTTTTCACTTCCAAAAAAACGTACTTTTAACGGTATTTTACTGTAAAGTGATATTAAATGTAATTACAGTCATTCACCGTATATAGTATGGGAACTTACTGTTAAACAATTAACAGGTTTTTGCTTTAGCATTTTTACAGTCTTTTACTGTTAAAATCACGATCATTTTTTACAGTACACACACACAAAGGGTTAGTCCTGCTTAGAAGAGTGACGCTACAGTGGGTTGATACAGACAACTAATCAAACATTATTTCATTGTACAGTTTCAGAAACTTCCATGTACTGTTTCAGCATCTCAGGTCCTGTCACAAGCAGCCTATATTCATCCAATTAATGCTAATAACCTCATAACATATCAAATTAAGACTTTTAACCCAACTTTAGAAATTATACAGTATGCAATCTTGAACGCTGACTATCCAGGTTATTATCCAGAATAAAGTATGAACAATGTGGACTGTGGAGCATGGGATAGGATTACATTTACTCCAGGTTAAGAATGGCCTATAATTGTACTAATTAACACTATCAAAATATTATGATGATGTAATGGTGGAAGTGCAATTAAAACTCACTCTGCTCAAAAATGTGAGAATACCCCTGTATACACCCCTCTGACTATGATGGACATGAATGTCTGCCCTGGATATAACATTCAGATCAAGCAGAAGTTCAGTAGTCTAGTTGCCATATTTTCTCTAATGAAATCTTTCCTTCTTTCCGCTGTGGTACTTTTTAAATGCTGCAATGTGTGAGCAGAAGATGTGCTCACTCTTAAAGGACTAGTAAGATGGGATGCCTCATTGGAGTGCAGTGTAAACAAAAATGACTGTCAGTGCTGCCTGATGCATTTACAGTTGCTTTTTATCGGCCTTCTCAGCTGTCATACATAGAGTGACCAGACAGGGGCGCCATAAATCCGTGTTTCTTTATAAGCGAATCTCGGATGTAACGTGGCAGCTGGAAACCTGTTTGTTCGAGCTGCAGACATTGTGAAATAAAATGGCATTTTGGATCACTTTGGCTGGTTCTCAAGCCATTTTACATTTTAGAATAACTCATAGTATGCCGTGCATGTTTTCATCTTTCTTCCAAGCTCTTAAAAAAAAAATGCACCTTTAATTATACTTAACCCGTTCAATCCCAAAATTTTCCCAGACATGAAAATAATCAAATGAGGTATTATTAGTAACCCTTTGAAATAATCAATTTTGTTTTTTTGTTGGGGGGGGGGGGG